TGAGAGGAAGAGAAGCCTGAGTGGCTGACAGCAAGAAAAGTCTGAGTGGTTGAGTGGCTGATTGGAAGAAAAAAGGCTCTGCCTTTGGAAGGGGGGTTCCATTTTGCATCTGGGGTTCCACTGTTTTTGTGGCCCCTGAGAGATAATACTTGAAGCTTTTTAAGTTGGGACCATCAAACTTCTAATTTCATCAGATTTCGCATCAGATTTCGCAGCAGGCGCAGAATTCGATGGAACCAATTGGACCATATTGACCATCAGATTTCGCAGCAGGCGCAGCATTTGATGGGACCGTTTTGGACCATGTTGGGCCATCAGATTTCGCGGCAGGCGCAGCCTGGGATGGATGCGGCCCAATGTCATGTCGTGGTCCTCGCTGTGTTGTGGGACCCCCATGACATGGCTCAGGCATAGTTGCTACGAATTTGCACAGAGTTCCGCTATCAATTTCAACGATCGAGCGCTCGCCACATCGAGCAAAATTGTTTTAAATTGAACGCTCTTCTGCGTCGTAACCACGTCAACCGTGGAACATCCAAATTTATATTTACATTTTGCACAGTGACAGCTTCCCTCAAACTCCACCAATGCCCAAGTTTAACAAGCCAGAAAAGGTATGGTGAGTGGTAGATTGCTCTTGGGTGGTGTCAAGTTGCGGTATTTCAGGGCTTCGTTGAGGATGTGTATGGCGCGACTCCGGCCTGGTTCTTCTAGACTGGTGGCCATGCGTCGGATGGCGTAGACCTCCAGGTCCGTGTATTGACCGGATCGTAGTTTGCGGGCGGTGTCGTAGGACGCTCTGGTGTGTTTGGTGAGGTCACGGACGGAGCACCGTGAGCGCGTGTAGTTTGTGTGATGTATAGGGTTGCCAAACGGTGTGTAGTCGTCTGCGAAGGCGGTAGTTGTTGGCCAAGCGAGGGTAGAAGTGGGCTCGATGACGAGCGAAATGCCGTCCGTCTGCTTTGAGTTTAAGGTGTTGGGATATGACAGGCCAATTGAGTGGGCTGCCATTGTGACATGTACAGGTGCTCGTGGATCCAGGCCTGGTCATAGCCTGGGAAAGTGGCTTGATGGCGCCGGTCGAGTGCCAATATCGCAAGGAGAGTTCGGCTGAAACGGGCGCGTTATTGGCCAACAGTTTGAGTTTGGTTCGTCTGTTGTGTTCGCGCTGGTCCACCAGCCCTTGCCCTGGGTAACTTTGACTGCAGCTGAGATTGAAGACAAGGAATACACAGTCTCTCTCTCCCTCTCTCTCTCTCTCTCTCTCTCGCTCTGTGTCTTTACCTACTATATGATGACTATTATTACTATGTACATTTTCAAAAAAAGTAATACATATATATATATTATATCCTCAAGGGTTTATTTAAGACTGTGACACGTTTGTGAAAAACACCACATGTTTTTTTACGTCTTCACGTTTTTGGTGAAGACAAATCGCGTTTCTTTAGACCAGGACCTCAGGACCTCAGGCGCGCAAGCAAACATGTATGCCAAACACAGCACGAGAACTAGTATTGCGTAGCAACGTAGAAGGGTTTCTTCTGTACGCGCGTGCAATTTGCACCGCACGTTAACGCCCCAACCCACCCCACCCCACACTCAGTCGTTCGCATTGCGTAGCAACGTAGAAGGGTTTCTTCTGTATGAGCGTGCAATTTGAACCGAACGTTAACGTGCCATCCGACCAAAACCCTCAGAATCATGGCACAGTTCTGAAGTCGTAATTACAGCGTGTTTTACATCGACCGATGAAAACATGCGCGGTAAATATGCGTAAATACCGCGCTAAATTCCGCGAACGGATGCTCAAAAAAACGCGCGAATAGCTATGAATGTACATGTGAGGTAAAAAAACGCACACAGTCTTAAGTAAAACCGTCTTATATATATATATTTTTTTTTTCGAATTTTTATCAAAAGATGACCAATGACAAAACAAACCCAAAGACCACGCATATCCAATACTACCTCCTTGAGCAATCGCATTTACGATCCCCTTCCGACATCACATTCTCTCCGTGGATCCTTCCTCACTCCGGTGTGGGATGACCAGGGCACCTGGTACCAGGAGAGGTCGACAAAGGGGAGACAGCTTGACCCTTTCCTGCCTCATGGTCGGGGCGACTGTCGAATCATGCGAGTAGATCACTCGCCGGCCTAAGTAAAAACCTAAGAACTTAGGGAAAATAAAGGTAAATGGAGGGGAGTCCAACCAAATCAAACATCTCAAAAGCACCAACTGGAAAGGTAAACACAAAGGCTGCAGTGGTGGTTGCACCGATGACGTTCCTTTTTATTTTTATTCTTCCCAGGTTGAAGCACGACCTACGAAAAGGGGCCGAATAGACGTTAGTTGCGCTGCATCATCAAGGAGGGAAGATTTCATCTTGGTCCACACCTCCCGGGCACTTCGTCATTGGTTTCTGATCACTCAGTGTCTACAACAACAGCTGTAGCTTGATCGACAGCTGCATCCCGGATCAAGTTCTATTGATCCCATTTGCCACGCTTCATGATTTACTTCTTGAGTATCCGAATGGTACGTTCCTACTTCAAGAGCAAAGCGCAAGCGCAAAGATAGAGCTACGGAGCCCTCACGCGGGAGTCGCGTGTGCAGTGCCTGGAACATCCCTACATCCTAACATCCACCTGGATATGGTAGTAGACACTCGCATACTTAGGCACGAACATATACGGAATAGAGTGTCTTGATGAAATAGCTGGTTTATTGTTATGGCAAATCTGCGGCTAAATTTGCCACCCGGCTTTGTATGCATTGGGTGGAAACAGGGGTATGCATTTCTGGCATCACAAGGAGTGTAAATGCACCAGTCCCTCCGTAGTGCAGGATAAGTCTTCGAAAAGGATATAAGGAACAGAGTGTCTTGATGAAATAGCTGGTTGTTAAAGCAAACCTGGTGGGAAAATTTACCCCCCGCTTTTGTACGCACTGGGTCAGAAATGGGGGTAAACATTTCTGGCATCGTCCGTAGTGCAGGATAAGCCTTCGAAAAAGATATAAGGAATAGTGTGTCTTGATGAAATAGCTGGTTTATTGTTATAGCAAATCTGGAGGGTAAAATTTATCTCCCGCTGTTGTGCGCATTGGGTCGGAAATAGGGGTAAACATGTGTGTGTATATATAAATGTTAGAGTAAGAGGGTGCTTTAGCTAAAGGAGGCAGACTTCAGTCTTTGCGTCAGCTTTGACTCCAATAGAACAGCTGTCCAACTCTACAAGTAAGGATCAGCTACTACCAATACGACTTCTGCTACGACGACTACTCCACACCAGCCACTCAACCACTCAGCCACTCAGGCATTTCTTCCTGTCAGCCACTCAGCCACTCAGACATTTCTTCATGTCAGCCGCTCAGCCACTCAGACTTTTCTTCCTGTCAGCCACTCAGCCACTCGGGATTTTCTTCCTGTCAGCCACTCAGCCACTCACACTCAGCTTCCTGTCAGCCACTCAGCCACTCAGGTTGTTCTTCCTGTCAGCCACTCAGCCCCTCAACCACTCAGGATTTTGTTCCTGTCAGCCAGCCACTCAGCCACTCAGCCACTCAGGATCTTGAGTGGCTGAGTGGCTGATAGGAAGAAAATCCGCATTTCCACGTACAATCTAAAGCCCTGCTACTGTAATCCTGAAGTTCACTTTCAGAGCTTGCCTCCCACTCTGGAGAACTGGCCAAGGTGCAAATCAAGCTCTCTGGGCCCTGGCCAGGACTTTGGACCAGCCGTTGATTGGATTACCAATTGCTGAGAAGCAAAAGTCATTGAAGGTTTGGCTCATGGTTGACATTTCTGATGACTTTCTCTTGCGGTCGCATGAAACCCTTCTGAATGTTGGCAGCAAACAAGCGACATGGAACTTTTCACTGAGACAACCCAACCGCCAGTGTTGCACCGTCGGCTGCCGCATCTCGTTCACTGCCCCACTGCCTGTCACCTCACCGCAACTGTTCCGGTCTCCAAGCTCTTCCCATAGCGCGTCGACGAAGATATCGTTGTGGTCAGAGCGTGTCGACGTCTTGTAGATCAATTCGTGCTCGAACGCCCAGCCTGTGCACGGCAGAGGGAATCAGAAGACATTCTGCAAAACTTGATGCATCGAATGCTAAACTAGCACACCTGCACCACCTGCATCTCGTACCCTAAGCCTTCTCTCATGTTAAGGCTAGTTGCGTTTTTTGCAGGCCCCAGCTTGATCACGTGCCAAGGCGCCGAAGTCCTCATGTCCAACCTACCTTCCATGGGATGACCTGAGGAGGGTATTCCTAGAGCCAAACCAGGTTTGCCTGATCGCACCAGCCTCAAGCTCACCAACGAGGCAATCACAGCCCAGCTTGTTCCATCCAGCGTCTCCATGCTGCGCGGTGGAAAAAGATTAAAACAGTGAAGACTTGAGGAACATCGGTGTCTGTTCTTCAGCTTTTCTGCTGGGCCTTGGAGTGGGCTATAGCGGCTATAGGAATTAGAGTTGCGACTTGATGTATGCAAAATGAGCTTTTGCATGGAGGTACAAGGCCCATTTCAAAATGCAGGTCATGTTCATCAAATGCTCCAGTATGCGCAAAAATCTACCGGGATTGAGCCTCAAAATGTGCAGAGAATTTATGTGACATCAGACTCAATGAAAATGAAGATTGGCTCTGGATTGGATCTGTCTTTTGCCGGCGGGGCCCGAACCAGTCGTTTCTTCATCCAGTTCTCCCCGGTAACCCCCAAAAGGAAATTCTTCCAAAGGGGTCCTCGTCTTCTGTGTCGTCACGGCCAGTGTCCTCATCTACTTTGGGCTGAAGAATCAACCGATCGATCCCCAGACTCATGACCACTCCAGGGTCCACTGTGTCGGTTTCCGCGCAAAATCGTTTCAACGTGTGTGTGCAAATATGTCCTGTGTCAGGCTGATATTAGATTCTTAAAGTGTTGCATGTGCACATCCTTCACTACCAATTGGAAGTATATAACAAGACCAGGACTTCTTTTTCAAACGCCGGGTATTGAAGATGAATCTGTGAAACAGCATCTGTGATTTGCCAAAGTCTTCACGGCAAACTCTGGAGGGAGCTATCTCTTCAACTCGACATAGTTGGTTCGCGTCGTATCAAAGCAGCAAGGCTTTGCCGCCAGTCTTCTCAAAGCTAACTTTTGGATGCATTTTCAGACCCAACGCGTCAGCAAGCTCTTCTTAGTCTCTTTTATCTTGGATTGCCTCATTTGGGCAAATCAAAGGTGGTCTCAAATACCGGCTTGCTTGGTCATCGCAATCTGTTGGATGCACAAGCAACATTCTTGGATGCTTGCACGATAAAGTATGCTATCTTAGCACCAATGAGTTTACGGCTGACTTGGAACGAAGCTTGAGGTTGCCTGTGTCTACCATTCCTTTTTCACAGCTAGGCAAACACAGAGAGGAATCCGAAAGTCTGTTTTCAGAACTGCACTGCAAAACAGAGGTCGAGGTCGGTACTGAAGTCCCTTCTACTAGTTCAATCTACAACTTAAGAGGTCAAAACCATCGTTGACATGGTCAAGATCTCAGGTCTTTGGAGAGAAAGAGAAGACACCTGTCTCTTTGAAGGTGTAAGGTCGTGAGTTGAAGAATCCAACGAAACGTGGAGGTCCCAGGAGGCATAGCATTGAGACCTTTATTTTGTCGTCAATGTGTTTGTTTGGGCCTACTTCTTCTTGTGCAAATGAAAAAAAATCAGAAGACGTTGTGGACTTAGACGACTTCTTGTTTATTTTGCCTGTCATTGGACAATTACTACGCATAAACGTTTTTACCTGAGCGAAAAGAGTTCCTACTTCTTCCTGGGAAGGTCGCCACAATTTACCAGATGGAACTCTGCTGGTCCAACAGTTCTGGCTGGCCACAACACAGGCAAATCAGACCTCGTAGCAATTGAGTGAAGCATCTTGCATATGCAGCGTTTCTTCAGGAACATTCTTGTGCACTTGCAGTTGCACATCAGCTATAAGCGCCCATTATGTGACACTTGGGACACCCAACATGTCACTTTGATTGGCCTGCAGCTATTTAAAGAAGCACATCTTGGGTTGCGGCATCAATACTTCAGTTTATCTCCCCGAATTAGTTTGACAATCTTTCCGTAGATCCGAACGAGCTTCACTGCGACGCTTGAATGCACGTGGTCCCCAGTGGCAAGCTATCCAAGTAGCATGGCAAAGGCCTGGTACCAAATGGAAAGCCTTTCTTGGAACACAAAGTCACATGCTAACTCTTGCTTGTTTGACACGGGTGCCATAGTCCATCAAAGTCGGGAGATTCAGCTCAAGGCTCAAGGCAGTTTTCTCGGCTTGGAGGTTCATGCCCACGGAAAGGGTGCAGAAGTCCGGGGCAAGACCTCCTCAATCACAACCATCGAACCATCCTCATCCATCACAGATGACTGTGCGGTGCACTCACCATACTTGAGAAAGACCTCACTGGGTGGCTACTATGGCACAAAGATGAGGTACTAAGTCTGATCAGTCCACTGGTGGCAGTGTTGCTTGATAGCTGGGAATCAGCCTGGCAGATGATCGGTTCACTCGAATCAATGCCAGGCTGAGGGTGCCAAGCTCAGTAAGGTCGCACCTTGAAGGCGGCCACTCTCCTGAGCATGGCGAGCTGCTTCCCAACCTTTGTCACTTGCACCCGAAATCGAGCTGCTTGGAGCCACCCGATGCCACCCGCACACGAACACCAGTGGTCAGCGCTCTTTTTGACCTGCAGCACCCTCAGCCATCGAACCTCAGACATCAACCTGCAGCACAAACCATCCACACGCCCATTCTTTGATGGGCCTTCCTTGCAGCTCCCATTGCGGGGGGGTGGTGGTCGTCCTGGTGGTCTCAGCATCGTCATGTCCAGCGATGCACGCGTTGTGATCCGTGAGGAAGGCCGTCGAGAGTCTCGAGAGACTGTGGAGGTTGGTATTCCCGTCGACATCACTCAGGGTGCTGCAGTGAACTTCATTCCTGCTGAACGAAGAACGAGCTGGAAAGTGGTGGAAAAGCATCTTCCCAGTTGGTTGTGGGGCGACAAGTCCTGCAAAGAATCCAACAGGAGGATCTGAGTTTGGGCCTCTGTGTACATTTCGTGTACCACCTCTTTGACCAGCTGATGGTTCGTAGCGGGAGCTGGGGCACTTTTCTGCGCAGAAGGCCTTTGGCTCTGGGGCTTGGGCAAAGCTCAGTAGTATCTGAGCATGTTGTGTGTGAGCCAGGCCATTGTGGCACCGTTGCAACTAGTGGTTTTCTAACTGGACACTTCACCCTGCAAATGTTTGCATTTTCTGTTCGGAAGCAAGACTTCCGAGGCAGGCTGGAAATCTTACCATTGCCTGGAGCAAGAGCTCTGAACACTCCGCACTGCATGGACTTGTGAGTTGCATATCGAGCAAAACGGGAAACAAACTCAAGTGCCAGTCCAAGTCCAAACAGGACAATGCGCGTGGTCTCCTGAAAACAACATAGTTCGGGCTGCTTGGTTGGTCACTGGCTTGCATGGTTGGTCCTCTGATCCATGGTTGGTCCACCGACGCTCAAACGGGCAGTCGAGGTCTTTTCGAGAATCCTGCACCCGCCACAAGAGTGCTTCTTCCGGATGTGGCTCAAAAGCCCACCCAGCTTTCCTATGTGAGATCCTTTAGGATTATGAAACCTTTTTCTCAAATAGGCTGCTAGGTGGTCAGGGAGACTTCCAATTAGCGAGATCTGCAAGTCAAACTAGGTGCGGACGCACCAACGGAGTTTGGGTGAGCCCAGGGCGAGGTAGCCAGATGGAGAGCTCCTGCTGTCAAGCTCCGTCATCCGCATGCGGGATGACCCCAAGGAGACAACCTCCAGGGCAGGCCTTCCTGTGTCCGGCTCCTTGCCAAGAGGCGATTTCTGGACCAGGAAATGATTGAATGCCACAAATATCCTCGAAGTCAGACTCTGGAAACCTGTAGACAGGTTTGGCTTTCTTATCGTGTCAGGCCACCTTATGGAGCTGCTGAGTCAGCGGTGACCGCAGTCTGTGCGGCCTTTCAGAAGAGGCTCAGCAGTGAGGCCTTCAATGTGGCCATCACCCATTGGTCTGAACAGGGCAAATAAATCTTCCGCATGCAGTGGTCACGTGGCTGTGTCCCAGTTCGGATGCGAGCAGGATAGGATGAAAGCCCGAGTGGGAGCCCCCGCATTTTGAGACGCTCGAATCTTTTCTGGAAAGGAGCACGCGCAAAGAATGTACAAGGGTTGTCTCGCATTGCACCAATCCACTCCTGGCTTGATCCATTCTGGTACGGAGACCGGAAATCTCGCTCTGAAATCAAGCTTTGCTCAGATCCAGTGCCTAGTCGGGTGGAAGGATGCCAGCTCCATGACGCGGCAGCTCTGGCTGCCTCTCTCAGGTTGGCAAGATTTTTCCCCTGAAAAATTGAAAACGATGTTGTAGAGCTCTTTCATCTCCAGTACTTCTAAAGATTTCAACAGGCTGTGTTAGGTGCACAGTTAGGCTATCGTCATTGCAGCACGTGTTCGACTGACAATCTTGGGAAGTCTTTCCTTTGCCGTTCAAGTAGGAAGTTGAGTCTTTGTCAAATTGGGGCAGCTCTGCAGAAGCGTCACCCTAATACTGCGTCAACCGAACATTTCCACAGCGCAAAGCTCTTTGTGAGCACTTGCTGCTCGACAGCACCCCTGCTTGGACAACTGCGCAAAGAAAGTTGTTTGCTCACACTTGAGAAAATCATGGCTGAAACAAACAGGCAAAATGCCTGTCGCTTTGGGTTGGATTCTGCATCTATGCAGGTGTGTGATGTTGGGACAGTGATGCAGGGCCTGTCAATGTCTGTCTGGAATTTCGTGAATGCCACAAATCCTTGAACCCCTGGACTCTGGAAACCCGTAGCATGTACAAAAGACAGTAGTATGCTATGCTGCATCCTCAAAGCAGGGCGGAAAATCTTTGCCTTCCACGCAAAATTAGAGAAAGGGGGTCCGGTTGCCGAGATTTAGATGAGATGGGACCATCTGTTGCTCTTGAATAGCAACACGCATGTCTGGCCTTTTCATGTGGTGTCGCTAGGAGCTCTGTATCTAGGCCGGTGAGATAGGCCATGTCAAATAGTGTTGGTCGTCAACTTGGACCCTTTTGCCGAACTGCACCGCAGGGAAATGTCCTTTTGCAGGTCAAATGTTTCTTTTTAGACAAAGTGCTTGATGTCTGAAATATTCCACACTCGAGATACCGCACTTTGATCTCTTTGGCACTATCAATTCGTACCTTTTCCCCTCCTTTCGATGACTGCTGACTGATCAGCATGAGAAGGCTCTCACACGGTGTCACCTCATAGGCCTAAAGGTGAAGTCGGAGATCCGCTTGCTGCTTTTGGGAGCCCTGTCGCTGGCCCGGCAGGTCTGTCGCTGGCCATTGTTTCTTCAGCAAGTGTTGCTTGGAGCCCTCCTCAGTGCTGGAAACTGCTGCATCTGTGTTGGCAGTCCGGCGTTCATCAAGCTCTAGCTGGGAAATCTCCGTAGCGAAGGCATTTTGGCAGCAAACCTCTAGTTAGCCTTGCCATTTCAACTCGAGCGCCGAGCGGCCTTGCGTGCCTTCTTTACACTGCGTGAAACCAACTTCTTGCAAATAGCGCACTGTCGGATGGTTGGCAAGAGTGTTCCCCAAAATAATCTCCAACGAGGCTCTACCGTTGTATCACAGCTCTTTTGTCTCCTCTACTTCCAGAGATGAAAAAATGGCGCGTTATATAGATGCAAAGTTAGGCAGTCATTTTAGCACACATTCCGCTGACAATCTTATCAGGAAGTTGAGTATTTGTCAAGTTGGGGTGGGGCAACTCTGCAGAAACGTCACCCTTTTACTCCATTAATTGCCCTGCATGCCAAAACACGGGACGGCAATCCTGTTTCAATAACTGTGCCAAGGTGTTTCAGTCACACTTGACCAATCATGGATGAAGCACAAACAGGCAAAGCTGCCGGCAGTTAATTCTGCATCTATATAAGTGTGTGATGTTGGGGCAATGATGGAGGACCTGTTAATTTTCTGTCTGGAACTTAGTGAATGCCGCAGATCCTTGAACCCCTAGACACTGGACATTCGAAACCTGTAACATGTGTGAAATTCGGAATCATGGCAAATGTTGTGCCGTGCTGCGCCCTGAAATCAGCACGGGAAGTCTTTGCGTTCCTCCCAAATTAGAGAAAAAAGGGTCACCGAGATTTAGATGAGTTAGGACCATCTCTTGCTCTGGAATAGCGACACGCATGTCCGGCCTTTTCATGTGGTATCGCTAGGAGCTCGGTATCTAGGCCGGTGAGATGTGCCATGTCAAATAGTGTTGGTCATCAGCGTAGTGAATGTCTGAATGTCTGGGCGGGAAACCTGTAACATGCACAAACTGCGTGAATCAACCAAAGAGTACTCTCTGGGACGCTTCTCGCTATATAACTGGCGCATGTGTGGCAGCTCAAAGGTTCGGGTCAGCTTTTCAGCAGGCGAACCTTGTTCGCTGCTTGTGGTTTGCGGCACGTCAGCCTTTTCCTCATTGAAGCTCTCCAGGAAGACTGCAAAAATGAGGTGCAAGAGTGGTCCTGCCAAATACGTTTCGCAACCACAGAACACAGCAATGAGACGTGGTGCACCCTTTCCGTTGGGTTCCTGGCATACAGGTCGTGACTCCACAAAGGGATGGAGCTTCTCTCTTCAACCAGGTTGTTCGCAAGTCCTCTGATAGATATGTGTCTTCGGCAAGAAAGACTTCGCATTTGGGATGGTTCCGCTCTTGGCACGGTTCTTGACAGCACACAATAGGTTAAGGAGATTCAGAGCACCAGCAGTCTGGTAAGGTGCACCAGTGCCAGACGTGAGAGACCAGGTACCAGCTCTTTCTGCACAGATCTCTTAAACTGTGCCCTGTGTGCTCTGTTCTGCTGTGCTGTAGCGACGCTTTTCATCGAGCCGCTGAAAACTTGTCCAACTGAAGTATCTACAATGTGAAATCAGGTTTAAGACACCCAGCCTTTCAGTACATCCTGCTCGAGTGAAGGTAGCCAAGACAGTGCAAAGTGACAGGATTCGATATGTTCGTAGACGCTTTTGAGGAAGATCCAAGCAAAGCAACCTCCATGAGCCCTTCACAACTCTCCTGGCCACACAACTTGACAATCGCTTTCCATGCCTGGAGACACAAGCACGGTGAACATGCATTAATGCTGCGTGAAGTGCGTCTCTGCTCTATCTAGAGCACAGTGCATCTGTTCTTGTGCCATGGGAAACAACCGCCAATGTCTCATGTTCCCTACTCATCATCTACCAGCTGTGCCTCGTATTGCTTCGTATCGCTTCGTGAAGCTCCAAGTCATGAGGAGGCCCTCATCATCACACGATGTCCAAGGCCTCGGGTCACCTGAGCCTTTGTGACCAGCGTCGCTCTCAGTGGCTCTGCTTGCTATGGGCAGAGCATCGCGGGCACGGGCGTCGCCCTGGCGAGAACGCGCAAGGACGGCGGCTGAAAACAAGTCGTGCCACTTGGTGCTCCTGTCACTGCTTGCTGACAATGTCAGGAATCTCATTGAACAGATGTGGTCGGCACTCTCAAGCAGTGGGACAAGAGATCCCTCGACCGGATGGAAAAGGTATGTACAGCTCTCCTATGCTGGCACGCATCGGAGCTTGTTGTGTTGGCGAGCGGACAAGTGTGGTGACAGCGGGTTGGTCACTGTCACCAGAAAACTGATTCGCACATCTACACATCCGCAGACTCCAGAAACCTGTAGACTCGGCCGAGATGCACAGATGTGGACTATACGATTCCCTTCTCAAGCAAGGCTGGTTAAAGAGAACCCAAAGCCAGCAATGCCGGACACTTTGTTACAAGCTACAGCAACTTGGATCTTGCATGACATTGTTGTTGGCATCGATGTTATAGCCAAAGCTTCAATTCTCCAAGACCGCACTA